AAATAGTTATATGCCTAAAAATAGACTCTGACGTATTATTTTGAGATTTCCCAGGGAATTATGCAATTTATTAATAGCATGTATTATAAATGCATCGATTGTTTTGTTTTCGTTTCATTTTGTACAAGAGAACTTTTTTTTTATTTGTAAGGCAATGTTTTTCTTAAGTTTGATTCCTTTTAGGTCAATTTGAAGGGATTTATATATATATAAAGCGAAGTTAACACCACTAAAACATCAGTAAGTACTAACGATAAATTAAGCAAAAGATCCAGTGCAGCTGTGTTCTAAAAGTCTTGCTCTAAGCGATTGTACGATAGAATTTATAAAAAAATGTCTACATACAAATTAATAACTTAGATTAATGGATAAGAACTTGTTTATATAACTCCCTTCTTTAAACTGGTCATAGACTTTATACCATAGGTACATAGGGGACATGCCAATTTTTTTAGCCGTCCCCCTTTTTTCCGAAATCCGGTTTTTGTTTTTGTTTTCTATTATTTTCAATTTGTTCGCGTTATTTTGTATACTATGAACATAGATATACTGCAAATAACTTGTACTTGCTCTTTACTATCAATTCCAAGTTTACTATCCACGGCGGTTACCTATATAATATATAAGTGACCGCCGTGGATATTTTATTCAACTTAAAATCCTTTCATCAACAAATAAACCCTTCTTTTGTCTTTTGAATAAAAAGGATCTATGAATTGATTTATAGGTTCCAGATGTGTATTCTGCTAAATGTTATTTTTTTCCGTAGAAGAAGTCTCTTTCACACGTACTTCTTTTCAAACGACAGAATATTGAAGTCCCCCCCCCCCCCCCCGTTATTGATTTCACGGACAGCGCGTAAATGAAAGTACATAGGAAAACGAGTTACTAGTATACTTTAAGGTAAAACATCTTTCACATCTAAATAAAAACGGTAATTTTAAACTGAACAACCATCCAAAAAAACTTGTTATTTTATAATATCATAGTTAAAAATAAATATTAAAAAATAAATAGATACGGGACAGAGGGGTTATATGTAACATGTGTAACTATGCTGTATATAGTTTGGGTATATATAACATATACGAATGCAATTTGAGTGTTTGTATAATTGTACTAAAAAAATCGACAGTTGAGAGCTCAAAGAAAAACAAATTGTGTTTTAGCTGATTATAACGTGCCTAATTTGTTTAATTAGTTTTGTGTAAAACTTTCAAAACCTACCAGCAAGTTAGCCAGGGAGACAAACACAAAAGCTAAACTTCACGTGGAAACAGTGTGATGTCAAATTTTGATATAAAATTAGTCTACTTAAATTTGATTTTACAAACCAAACATCAGTATCTCATTATTTTTACAAAAAAAAAATAAAATACTGATTAACCTTAATATCATAAAAAAAGTATCTGCAATATCGCACTTAAATATTCCTTTATATAGAATAATGAAGAGTCCCAATCTGCGCGACAAAAACCACAACATATGTCAGATAGTTCTATGTTACCTATTCTGATATCGGACTCGGACTTCTTTTAAACTGAGTTTTACCGATCGTATTGCTGTGTGTTTGTTTATTCTACATTGGCTAGAGGTATAGGAGGGGGGGGGGGGGGGGGTGTTGAGATCTCACAAAACTTGTTTAACCCCGCCACATTTTTGCGCCTGTCCCAAGTCAGGAGCCTGTATGTTTTTTTTTTAATTTTAGTTCATTTATATGTTTCGGAGTTTTGTGTGACGTCCATTTTCACTGAACTAGTACACATTTTTGTTTAGGGGCCAGCTGAAGCCCACCTACGCGTGTGGGATTTTCTCGCTTTGTTGAAGACCCATTTATGGCCTTTGGCTGTTTTCTGCTCTTTGGTCGGATTGTTGTCTCTTTGACACATTCCCCATTTTCATTCTCAATTTTATAAGTTGATCAATAGGATATTACTTCTTCGATTTAAGTCATTATAGTTATTTTCAGATTTATTATAAAACATGTTTTAATTTTAGTTAAAAACATACATTTGTTTACCCGTTTTTAATTACATGTGGTAAATATAGAACAATGAGATGTGATATGGTTGCACATGAGACAACTATCTACAAAGCAACTACAGGTGATCATATACAAAAATCAAACTGCCTGGTTTATATTGCATCAATATAAAAACATCCATGCTGGCAGACGGCAACAAACGACCACAACTGAAATTCAGGTCCTTAAAATGTGACGGGATTTAGTATTTTGTGAGCGCACAACCTTCCCCTAAACCTGGGACAGTGATGTAACTGTTCAACAAAAGAACAAACTGTAAACATCAGTTTAACGGGACATAGACTCAATAGGTCGATGATAAGCACCCCCTTAAACAACAAAAACAAAATAATACAAAATGATTAACAAAATGACAAAAGATACAAACTTTCGTCCCAAGAGTACTAGTACTCAAAATTACTGATTATGAAAATAACACTTCATAAATTGTACTCATCCGAAGCACTTTTCTGGATTCACCTTCATCGGTGACGCTCAAAGCAGAAACAAAGAAAGCATAGGATGTATAAGTACCAACACATGTACGTGTGTAAGAGATGCATGCATTAGCTGTCACCGATGTGACCCGAATTCTCATTTTTTTTTTGCATTCTAAAACAGATATCCAAGTTTCAAAAAAGTCCAAAAAGAAACAATTACTAATGCATTGGCTCGATATATTGAATTAGCATTTCGTACGTGTTTTAGACCAGACGCCATCAAATTATCCATCGAGATGACCTCCGAATACTGCCGACGATCATATTACACTATATAGATATAAATACAAACATAACTAGATAGTAAGCGCGTGCAATCAAATTTTTCTTGGTCTGTTGGATTTCATGTTATAGGTTAAACATATATATGTAATTCATCGTTTTTTGTGGGCCGGATCAGTCTACGAAATGGTTATTACTAATGTCTCCCTTGTTTCACTTTTCAATGTTGACATATTTTTCTTTTTAATGAATGCACATGCCGAATACATGCGTTTAAAGGTCATCCTAAGGGTTGCATGCATGCGGATTGAGATGAGTTGAATTATTGACTTACAAGTCATTAATTCACCAAATTGAATGATGTTTTTCTGCTTATTTTGATAAAATCAAACCAAACTGCCTGCTAATAGCGAAATATTATTTCTGTGTATTATGAATGTTTGAAACAAGAAAAATCGTATTCTAATTATAATTATATTTTTGTCGAATTCCTAACTAATGCCTCTTTAAGAAACCGGGACCATGCTGAAGAACATGTCAAGATATAATTTCAGTTTGTCTTCTTTGTAACCTCACTTTCCATTTTACAAATGTACCTTAAATGAAAATGGTTTTCAAAATAATTGCACTAAAAACTGAAAATTTACGAAAAACTCTGTACCATACAATACGGATTATCCATGTCAATCGTTGTTTAGGAAAAAATTATGCTAAAAATATATACGGTGATTTCCACTAAAAATTTCTATTCTTAATATAGATTTGAAAATATATTTCTTTCATTTAAATCAGTAATTTGTTTTTTACCTTAATGTCTCTCCTTAGGACAAGAGACAGTTGCAGACCATTATATGTAAGGCAATACTTTTAATTTTAAGATATTTTATGTAAATATTATAGCCTATGATTACACAATGGACATTTCGATGGTTGTTTGATTAAATAGGGGTGCAAGTAGGGTGCCTATAAAAGTAAGAAACGAAATAGAAAAAAATGCTAAACAAAACAAAAGAAAAAAGTTAATGATATTATAAACGGCCATAAATTTCTGTTTTTGTGAACTGATTGGATTGTCAGAACTTTGATGTTTGCTTCACGTTCTATGAAATTGATTTGGTATTTTTAGTATTATTAGTTTCTTACCCAAATTAACACGGATAAGTAAATCAGTATACCTCCAGTCGTTTGTGCAGGGGTACATGTTTATGTTCACTTAACATGCTTAAGAAGAACCAAGGATATTGTTTAACTCAATATTTGTAACAAATAGTAACTTTGATATAATGTAGACACAAAATGATCAATCCATTCTAAAGGTTAAACAGAAAAAAGCGAATAGATATATTTCGTTATCTTTATATGATAATTTGATTCATTTTTATGAAGGTTCGTCCCTTTTTATCAATTTCGTTTAGTTTATGTTCGTTACGTATTGTTTATACGTTGACTTCGTTTCTTTTCGTTCTTTTTCTTGTTTTGTTTTATTTCGTTTAGTTTCTGTATCGTACAGGCACCCGTAAAAGTATAGAAAAATGTACAACACTCTGAGGAACAACACATGATTAGTTCTGTTTTTTCCCTTTCACTATGTACAGTTTTCCAACCTTTTTGATGTACTCACAGTTATAAATGACTCGTTTTGCCAGAGATATTGTTTTCGTAATACAGAGAATTTTACAATAGTGAAATAGCATGTTCTTTAGAAATTTGAGAAACTTTACACACCAAGCGTTTTCATCTTTTATAAAAAGTCACTATTTTGAAGAGAAACATTAAACATATTCTACCCTATAAAAAAAGCGCTTGTGTGTCATTACAGGAAACAGACCCAGTTTTTAATCTTATGCTGTCAGCATTCCAATTTAACCAAAAATAATACAGCGAGTAAATGAAGACAAAATATGACCAATCTGCCTATTTTAATTAATTAATTTGATAATTTTAAGGCCAGATTCGTCTACCTCACAAAATCTTGTCAGGCACTATGATAGCTTAATTTTATGTTTTTAAGGTCGGCATCACGACATCCGTTCTTTTCTTTGCTTGTGTTGCACTAAACATTATACTGTTCGATTCCTGTGACTCTTTCCATAACAGCTTTTTGGTCATACATATATTCTAACCTTTTCCATTCATTTGAATAAGCTTCGTCAATTTGATCATTTTAATAACATTTAATACATTGGTACACATCAGAAACGTTGTCAATTACTTTTGTTGATTTTGTATTCCCTTTTATCCATGAATAAATAAATTTGGTGTATTTACTGTTTTCTGATTGGTTAAAAGTATTACTTTTATTTTCAATGTTGTCAATTTTTATGGCGACACGCCCACTTTTACCGGAACTACTTTTTTATTGATTCGAAAATTCTTTTACTTGATACATTCGTAGCAATACGATTTAGAGCAAAACAATAAAGTGTTGTTCAATCATTTGTTGTTTTAAATGTTTTAAATGTGTTATCCTACCCATCTAACCCCCGAACTACATGTACATGTATGACTCCGTCCCTCCCCAACTCCTGTCGTCTGCTCAATACTAGTAAGGCAAAGATGGAAGAGGTGCCGGATTTCGACATCGGTGGGGGCGAAAAGCTGATTGAAATGGACTCGTACAGTGAAGAAGATTTATTGGGATGGTTGTTTAAAGATAACTTGCAAAATATTGAACTTGTTGAGCTAAACATTGCTCCCGAAAATCCTGGATTGGCACAACAAACGCAGCCACAAGCCCCATCTCAGATTCCGTTGGCACCCAAGCCGGTTGAAGTTGAAAGGCCTACAGTTTCTGGGCTTCAAAAATCACAGAAACGATTTAAAACTGTTACCTCAGAAGAACTGAAAGACCTGCAAGAAAGTCGACAGGCTAAATCAACCAAACAAAACACAAAGTGGGGAGTCAAAGTTTTCCAAGGTAAATACAAACTTATGGAAACACTGTTTATGATTTTGTTATACTCTGACACAGACAGTTAAATGAGTTAAATACAATATACAAACACAACTGTTCTATACACTCAAAATAAAACAATGTAAATTCAGACCAGGATTTGAACCTGGGACCTCTCAAAAAACATGAGCGCTCTGCCACTGAGCTATCTGAATCTATATAATAAATTTTATTTGCTGTTTTTCTACCAATATTGAATATTTCCTCTTTCCTATGTTTGAAAATCAAATTGAATTTCTTATTTTGTTATTTTTCAGAATGGTGTATGGAAGCCCTGGATCAAGTATTGGATTTCGCAACTACTGAAACAGAGGAATTAAACAATGTTTTGGGTAAATTTTACGCCGAGGCAACCCCAAAATTTTCCGAAAAAAGAGGCAAGGAAATGTCAACTGCCCAGTCAAAAGAGTATCACAAAAATTCAATGAAAAACATAAGGGCAGCAATCAACCGCCACATTCATGATTTAGATAGGGATATTGATATCGTTCGCGATAAGAATTTAGGAAGGCGAATGAAACTCTTGATGGAAAATTAAAGAAAAACCTCGAAAAAGGTCTCTCTCGTCCTACAAAACATAAACAGATTATAACCATGAATGATTTGGAAAAGATAAATTCTTACCTGTACTCATCTGATGATCCAATTATCCTAAGATTCCGTGTGTGGTATAATATTGCTATGCATTTTGTGACCCGTGGGATAGAGTTTCATCAACAACTTCAGATAAACTCGTTTGAATTCCACTTTGATGAAAACAATCGTGAATATGCCTGTTTATCACACGAAATGAAACAGAAAAATTGGCAAGGCGGATTAGACTCTGGAGAAACTATGAATGACAAACGAATGTATTCATGTGAAGGCGATCGCTGCCCAGTTGCTTCATTGAAATTGCTGATTTTGAAAACTGGTCCAGATGCAACTTCACTTTTCAATCACATTAATACACCTAATCGCTATTTATTCTATTCCGGATAAGTTCTAAAATTACACAACTTTTTCATCCAGTTGACGCTATCTGGGACCCTGTTTAAACAATGCACCATGCATGATACTTTTTAATGAGACCTGTTTAAAACATCGTAAATACTTCAAACACAATATTTTTTTGACTATAATTTGAGTTTGGAAAAAGTGGATCATAATCTATCAAAGTTTCCTATTGATCGCTTTCTAAATTTTTTCCCTCCCTCAGCTCGTTACTGATGACCTTTGTTTGCGGCCTGTTGACCCAAACAGGAAGTTGTCTAAATGACTGTTTTTTCCGGATTGGACTAAATAGCGATAAGGTGTATAAAGATGCGTTGTCGTCCAAAACTCCGAACATTTTACAACTATGGTACACTAACAAATCGGTCAAATCTTACCAATTCACAAGATTCATGGCAGATGTGTCGAAAAATGCCTCCTGTAGTGTAATGTACACAGCTCATTGTCTCCGGGCAACAGCGATCCAAGCAATGAGTGACGCTGGCTTCGAAATCCGGCATATTATGTATATGAGCGGTCACCGGAATGAGGCGTCTGTACGAAGCTACAGTCGGGACTGTTCTACCCTCCAAAAGAAATCAATGAGTGACACACTTTCAACTCTATCCACAGGACGCGCACCGCCACAGACTGCGATGCCAATGCCGATGGCTGTACAAAACAAACCTTCCAGTGTGAGCTCAGTTTTGGCGGCTCGTGACACTCCAAACGTAAACACTATGAATACCGCCTTATCGTCAAACAACTTCATGTCGTCAGGGTTTATTTCTAACTCCTCTTTCCATAACTGCACATTTCAAATCAATAATCCACAGTAAACTGTTGTTTTTGGAAAAGAGTTTACCTGTCTCATAACATTCCAATGACGTGGAGGCCATGACAGTTCATTCATTCTCTCTGACGTTATGTATTCATACACCACCATGTGACGTTACGTTGTTATTGTTAATATAAATAATATAAAAAGTTCTTTGAGCCTTTTTTTTTATAGACATTTATTTATAATGAATGGCAATAATTTATTTTGAATTTATTGAACCATAAAATTAATTTTTGACTCTTCACATTTTACATAATCCGCTTCGCGGATTATTCAATGTGAAGAGTCAAAAATTAATTTTATGGTTCAATAAATTCAAAATAAATAATAGCCATTCATTAATTGTTTAGAGGTTTCCCCCAATAATGCCTTTTATTTTCCATTATAAAAATTGATTTGGGTAAATAAAACATATATGTTTCTTCTAATCACAACAAATATATCCCAATCAGATTTTTTTTCCAACTTTATTGAAAGCGGTCCGTCATATTGTTTACCCCTGTTGGATCCTCAGCCAATTGGTTACCAAGTAATGTTAGATGAAACATATTACTGCAATTTATAAATAGATGACTTTAAGTCATACACGATTTAACCTATTTTCCCTTTATCATACATATGGGTCGTATTAAGAATACAATCAAATCAACAAATAAAAAAAAGACAGCTTTACTATTTCCCAGTAGTTGTATAGTACAATGATAAACATGATATACATTTAGCATGTTTAGATCGTTCATAAAAATATCTTTAGATATTTTAGATGACCTGGATACTTGTGTGACACAAGTTGCTCATAAATGCGTTTTGAATCTGGAAAATCATGTATTGAACAATCTATAAATCACCTAAGCATATACATGTCATAAGAACTGAAAAATAAATTAACAAAATATATATCCTTGTTATCAAATTAAACATGGTTAACGTGAATTGGTAAGATAACAATGATTCTAATTCAAGGCATACATTTCCGTATCTATAAATAAAGATAAACAAAAATAGATGTTAAAAAACCTCATTGGAAATCAAAAGTTCATGATACATGTGATATCCATATACTTGTTTTATTGGTCATTTTCTCTTCAACATGATTACGTTCAACGCTTAAAGTTTACGCATGTTAAGGACATGTACATTTCGAATAGCTAATGCTCAAATAACCGTTAATTCATGCATTTAGGACACATTCAACTAATGATGGTCGTCAAGAAACGAAGAACATATATTTCAAGAAAAAATACGAAAATATGTGAGCAAAATCAAATTTTTTATCAAGTTTTATTTTTTACAATTTGTCTAGTCGTCTTTTGGAAACATGGCTACGTATAGAAATACAGATATAATTTGATCACAGCAAAATTTGCTGACACGTTTTTTATTCAATTTTATAAATGTTTATAGATTCATACAAATGGCCAATTTAGATGAAAACAACACCACTTTAAAACATAAAATAGAAGATATTGAATCGAAGTCTCCAAACCAAAATGATGGAACCATCACAGCCTCAAACTCATTCGTATGGACAAAACTAGAAAACAATCATTTCGATGGAACCTTAACCAGTGAGAGAAGAGGTATAATTTCGAAGACTCTCTCAATGAAACAACTGCTAGAAAGTTTGTCTAATATGAAAAAAGAAAAGAAGCTCTTTATATCAATCGACTGGTCTTTAGAATCACTGTGTAAATCCCCAGTATTAACGGAAGTCACTATTGCATCAACAGACAACGTGAAGAGCAAAGACTCCGACAAAAGGATTTTAATCTTAGGACAAATAGTGATAAAACATGCTTTTGAAGTGTTAAAGGAAATCCTTGCGGATAAGACTCTCTGTAAGGTTAGTTAGTAACTATTACTATATTAGTTTTATATTAACCCACATGTGGAGAAGGAGCTGCTAACCCTTTCAATACACCTGAGATAACGCTCAGTTATTGAAGGGGCTATTGTTGCTCGGTCTTTAAATTTGTTTGTTATATAAACATGTTGTACTGTTATTCGTCTTTTGGTAATTTTTTACTTTTTGATATGGTGTTGTCTGTTTATTTTCGACTTAGGCTTATGAGTTTGAATATCCCTTTTGGTGTCTTTCATCTGTTATCGAGTAGAATAGTTATAAATAGAGATGTTTTTATGTTGCGCCGTCAATTTAAACTCTCTTGTAATTTTTCTCAATATTCTTATTTGGTTAATATCAACAATCTGGCTTTAGTGTCTGATCACCATTTGAATTAAGGTTTTGATTACAAATAACATTTATCACTATTAAAGTTATCACTAATACCTTAACGGACAGCGATTTTTCGAATGCTATCGAATTGACATTTTTCAACGTTGTATATTTAGTAATACATATCAGAGGCGTTCAAAAGAAATTGTACGTATTTGCCAAAATTGTAATACGTTTCTAACGTGTGATGGAACATATATCCTATTTTTCCAGATGCAAGTCAATATATTACATACTGTTCGGGGATAAACATATATTGTTAAACATCTAATTATACTTCAAAACTATAAAGGTGGTCTACCGGGCCTCAATAAAGATTCAAGTTCTTGCTATGGTTTGGCTTTATTTGGTATAACTACGTTTTTTTGCTCTTAAACGATTGTATACTGTTTTAGATTGTCAAATAATTTGGACTCAAGCATCGTCGTGAAAACAATCATTGTCAAAAGGCTCAATTAGTACTGTAAGTGTAATAAGCAATTTTTTTCAATCACATACCATTTTGATTTAGTAAGCTGTAAAAATATATGTCTAATACTTTGTTGCAGGTAATGTTTTGTCCTAGATCAGATTTTACAAATTTGATACAGTACGGCATCAAAATTGAAAATATATTTGATATGCAGGTAAAATGTTCATCTAATTTTAGACTTTTGCAATAATTTTTCACTTATAGTTTCAACATCCTTTTCTGTCGTTGATTGAAAGTTATAGAGCCTCTTGGAATGCATTTTAATTAATTTTGCGATTTTGAAAAAAAATTGGATATTAGATAATTACATGTACAGATGATCATGAAAATGATAATTGTTTGTTGAAAAAACACGATAAAACATAAATCATTTCGTGTTTTGTTACATTAAAATTGTTGTTTTTGCTCGTATCTCGCTTCGGTACATCACACTTAACCATCTGTCACTAAACAATGAAGGAGACAAAAGACTTTTGAAGAAAACGACAAACCTTAGATAAAACGCAAGTATCTGGAAGGACAAATGTTTGTTTTCCACATGTTGCTCCTGCTGTACTGCTCATGATAAGTGATAACTCGGTGATAAATCGCATTTTGTAAAGTCCAAAATTTTTGCCGTACGTTTATAAACAGTCCTTGGTTAGCTTTTTTTTTCAGCAGCAACGTAATGTATTCAATGGTTTATTTAGCGAAATGTCATAATATTCAAATCTTGGTTCCCGCCATTGGACGTCCCGAATAAACCATACTGGTAAGACTTCTTGGCTTTTAAATATTTTGCATCGTTATTCCGATGATCTTCACTTGAACTGTGTTCTCGCTTAATTAAAAGTATACTAAGGGGATGACTTAATTACAATGATAGCTGCATAGTAAATATGGCATTTACCCTAATATTGCTCTTGGCAATTATAAGTGCACACCTTCTTTGAGGGCAAACTTGTCCGTATATGTCGTAAAAATAGTTTTATTCAATCATGATTTATTTTGATTAGGCTTGCGTTCAGTGTGTAACTGCTGTGGAAAACGACGAGACTGGCAACCTTGTGATGAATGGAAGTAAGCCTGCATTAAATGAAATATGTAAAATGTATAACTTACCATTACAGTTTCACGACAATATTCCTGTGTCTGTATCTAGTATTTTATACTTAATGGATATTAACACATATTTAACAGGACGAAATGGGCAAGTATACACATTCTGTTTATTGATATTTTGTTATATTATTCGTTCATCGTTAACTTGGTTCATAAACAGCATACAAAGAAAGATTTTTGTTCAAGTAAATATGACGATGACGCATAAAAGAGTAACCCATATTAAGTTCTACAGTTTAATCGACAGTCGATACGCATCTACTAATTTTGACTATTTGGATTTGCATCCGTTTTTGATATCATAGGTGTAAATGCATTGAACTAAAACAGCTATAATGATAGATATGACTTTCATCTTTTAAATGCAATTATGATAAAACGTAAAATGACAAAAATACTGAACTCCAAGGAACATTCAAAACGGAAAGTCCTGTACCAAATGGCAAAATCAAAAGCTCTTACACATCACACGAATGGAAAACAAATGTCATATTTCTGAATTGGTACAAGCATATAGTTGACTTTTTATAATAATATAAAAAAATACCCTAATAATGGCTTACCTGGATGGAATCTGTACAGATACCAGGAATTGTAGTCATAGATCGGATTTTTAAAGTATGCATATTACAGAATCCGAAAAAATATCTCTTTGAAAAAATGAAATTTATTGATTGTGTAATTGATTTAAACTGAGATTATATCGACTCTTCTGTTTAAGGGCGTATAGGTAATTACACATGAATCGTTTTATATTTTTGACACAAAAACATTCGGTCTATAGCAAACGTGATATCTTTTATCCCAGAAATAAGTGTCATGCGCAATAGAATCAGTATAACACGTTTATAGATTCATTGATGATTTGTTTTAGGGCATCAGTTTCAATTAAATAATAATTATTTTCTTATAATTCAATACTACATGTACTCATGATAGACTAATCGCATTCAAAGTTGTACAGACTTTCAGGCAATTGAACGATAACTTCTATTTTAATCTTTGTTAAAATAAAGAATACTAGTTATCAAAGATCGATTGTACATTCAGATGATCAGGCGCTCGGTAAACAGAAAAAAAAACAAAACCAAAAAACACCAGAAACATTGGTGAATTTATTTCAATTAAGTTTTTTTTTCCAATGTATGTATATTTATAGAAAAAAGGTCGACGTATATCACAATTTTTTGTACAATGCTTTGACAAATTTCTGGTGTAACATTTGTAGTGGGAGTGTCATAGTAATTTTATAATTATTTACAAACACCGGATGTGGTAATTTTTTTTAGCTGGTTTATATGATAGCTGTTTAAAGAATCTCTATAACAAACTATAAAAATGCAAAAATAAGAGTTTGCTATTCTAACAAGTTTTTATATCTGAAAACATTGATAGTTATATTCACGCGAAACCCTATTCCTCTCATAAAAACAGTCAACCGATACGAAACGATATATATATTATGCATGATTCACCAGTAAAAAACCTAATTCACTTACAGAAGATATAATACAGTGTCATTATTATAGGGTGTGGTTTAAGGCACCAGCGAGGGTCAAATACTTATTCAATAGACGAATGGTAAGAATAAATCGTCTTACATTTGCACAGAAAAACTTATTGAAAGCAAAATCCCTCCAAGTAGTTAGCTTTGACATAATGAAGACAACTGATTGCGAGGAAGATTGCAAAAAGGAAGAATGCACGGCAAAACCTCACAAACATGGAGAAGCAGAAGACTTGACTGATAGTGGACATGGAAACTGCAGTTATGCTGAAAAAAACATCGCTTTAAAATGTAAAAAAGAACCTGACAGTGCAGTACTTTCTAGATATGAAGGACGAACAAGAGATTACTTTCAAGAAACATACATATTTGGCGAATACCGTAAAACACTCGAAATATGCAACAAAAAATCAATTCAACGAACCAAACACGTTGTATCTAAGTAACAAAGGTACTTGTCAAGTGAATGCCTTCAAATGATCTCTTGGTGTCGATTTTAATACTGACATGTATCCAATATAATTTTGTATTTATTTTATGTTTAAATTAGAATGTTATGGTAATGCTACATTTTCAAAATCCCCAGAGAAATTGAATCATTAGTCGATTATTCATTAAACATGTTCTACATGATACCTATGTTATTATTGAAATGTAAAGCTATGCACTGTTCAAGGAATTCCAAAGTAGCAAATTAATTAAAGCTTTATTCACGTTTTGACCTCATCTGACGAATTGATACGGCATTTGTAATACACGATTGGGCATTTTACAAAACGTTTGTCATTCCGTCAAAAGGTGAAAACATTATAATAACTTTTTAGGCGTAGTGCAATGTTGTACAAGAAACACATGTTTATATCTAAATGACATATTTCCCTAATTAACTTGGATGTGTGTGTGTGTGTGTGTGTGTATATGTGGAAGAACGGAGAGACAGATTGAATTTAAATTACATCTTATGTTGAATTATTGATATAGAGAAGAGATTTATGTGCAGTTTGAAGCAGAATTAAACAGTAGTTATCTTTGCTGTATCAAAAATTGTATGTTAGACATTAATAAAGATAATTTTAGAACTAATCATGAAATTTCTTCAAAAGACTTATTTGATTATTAATGTTGAGTTTGTTTTGTTCCTATTGCTTTTTTGTCATTGTGAGCTCATCTGATAACATTTTATATTTCTTTTCATCGAGATAAATGCGAATAGTTTGACCATATCCGAATTTAAAAAATATTATTCTTCAGATGTTATCAAAAAAAGATTTGGTTAACCTTATCTGTCAAATGATGAAGAGTGATATAACAACAATATCAACAAAAAATGCAACTGCTACTTTTTTTACTTTTTGTAAGATTTTTATTATATGTGTTGTCTAAACTGAATATTTTACAATCATCATTAAAAAAAAGAAAGAAAAGTGTCAGTATTTTCGCCGTTCCATTATTTTTAGAAGTGTACCATTGTTTGAAATGTCATGTTCAGTATAAGTCACTTTCTTTCACATTTACAATATTTTAAATGAAATTGCTTTCATCTCGAAAATACAACGGTAACATTAACGTGTGTGCTTACCAATTTTATGTCTTTCTTATGATTACCGTGATTTTCTATTTTGATTATTGAGATGCCTTTGTATAATGTAATCATATTTTTTATCATGCTTTGTAGGGATATAATCTGGTCAATTATTTGTTAGATTGTTTACATTGGAAGGTCAGCCATTGTAATTTTAGTTCTTTTGACTTAATTCATGATCAGTAGTGATTGTCGTTAAACGTATCGGTTACGTCAAATATTGAGTCTGCAAAGGCAAAACGTCACTATCGAGTTCCGGTTTTGGTATCATAGGACTAACGACTTGCATTACCGTCAGATGAGGTCCAACTTGGCAACATGCATTATCAAGCCATAAGCTAATTACTGCAAAAGTAAAAACAGCACAAAGCGTGCTTTCTGAACTTTTCCTTAAAGACTTATAAAGTTGCCATTTTCTTAACTTTTCTGTCATTAGAGATGAATATTGGACTCACTTCATCTTTGCATTGAATAAATACGAACACATTTGAACATAAAAAACACATAATAAATCATAGCATTTACGATAATTCTCAGCTAGGATATATCATATCTATATATTTAATTCTACCATTGCATTGAGTGCGACATAATAATTCTCTACTCGAGAGAGTTAAATTTTCAAATTTAAACGGGAGGGTTGCCGAGTGGTTGAATATGTATCTTTAATGATTTTTGACGATGTGCAGGCAAACTTATACCTTGTTTTGTTATTATCTGCAAATGATGTGTTCTTTCTATGTAACGTCATCAGGCATGGTCGCCTTTTTTCCTGACGTCATAACTGAAAATTCAGGAATAAGTACGACCATTTTAGGTCATAATTGAATTTTGCCAATGAAAAACTGAGATAAAACGAATCACACGTTGATTAAATAAAAATTATTTTTCTATCTATTTCTTAATATTGCAAACCTTATAATGCTTGACCAGGACTATCCCTACTATTTATTTACTTAATTTTCGTGACTATTAATATATTTAAGATATTACTATTATATTTGTTAACAAAAATCACCTTGTATCTGATAAAACAATAATCTATTAATGTTTTTGTATTAAACAAAATTACTTCAATTGATATTACTAATTCAGGCTTTTATGTGTTAACATCAGCACTGAATCCGGTGAACACCACAAGAACGCAAAGGAGGTAATCAGGGTTCCAGTCCTGTAAACTTAGTTCTTCAACACGCTAACAAGATTAGTATCATAATATGTGGTTGCTTTAAGGATATAATCCTCGTGTTTTCAAATCCCTCAAAACATTGAAAACGTCAGCTCATTGCTTAATCAAGTACTATTTGTTTGAAATTATATCGATAAGAGTCTAAAATATGGTGTAGATAGTTATAAAGTGTGTCATTAAATTATTCGAAGAAGTTAGGTCTTCATTACCCCTTAAGAGATACTAGTGAAAAAATATTTCTTCACACTAAAGATTAAAATTTATAAATATACTATAAAACAATTTATTATCGCGAATACAACATTTCGTGTTAATCCTTACTAGCCATTTCGCGGCGCTTATTTCCGCAATTTTTCCATATTGTTACCAGGTTACTGTTACTTTATATAAGGAAATATTTGTACATGTTCGCGACGATTCATATTTGTGTTCAACCTGAAACAAATCGTAAAATTTAATAATTTAATTTTGATAACCGTCATATTTCGTAATCTTTAATACATAAGATATTCGTATATAATATTTTTGAATCACGTGGTGAAAAATAAGTTTCAAGAATATTGAGATTGATAAAACAGGCAAGTTAAGAATTGTTGAATTAATTTACAATTTCAAATGAAGGTTCGGTATACTATCCGTTAAAAATAACGTTTAAAATTTGACTTTTCGAAACATACATGATTTTAAACATGAAAAATAATTGACAAAATCTAAATAATGATAACCATAATCTATTCCAGACTTCAGATGAGGTAAATACAGGTAGTAACATTACATTAAAACTTGTTTTAATTGAATAACGCAGTGATT